TCACTTCCATTAGTTCAGATCTAGAGGCTTAGACATTAGATATTGGATTCTCTTTTCAAACAACCAAAAGAAATAAGAAACAAAGCTTATGGTATTTCTAAATGTCACAGTTAAAAGACTCAGTCAAATAATGTGTTTCAGCCTTGTTTCAGTGAATATTTGTAATTCAAACACAAAGCATACACTGAATTCCTCTCCAAAAGATTTTTCCCTTGGCAAAGTTTAGAATTTTGAAAATAGTCTTTTAATATCCAAGCCCACACCCTCCTACAGCCATAACACCAAACAGCACTGTGATGTATTACTCCCTTATGGGAAAAGACATGCTTGAAGCTGAACTGTAATTTGGCACACTACACTTCCATACTAATGTAATGTGACAATGTTATTATGTTTGCTATTTTCCGTGTGATCATAGCCATATTCATCTTCTTCAACCTGACATTAGATTAGCTAATATGGTTACATTCTAATCTGTACCACAGGGTGAAAGCAGAAACAGATAGCACACTGGTGTCATGATGGTGAGCACGCATGAACATGTAAATAGGCAGTACACAGATGTTCCAAAATGAAAGAAAACTCCTAACAGACTTAGAACATACTGAACACTTGGTAAATAGTTAAAGGGAAAGTTAACAGCTATCTGCTACCTACAATTGTGTGTGGTAATGCAACACACTAGTTCCCTCATACTTCAGACAAAGAAATGGTAATGCCCAGTCCAGGACAACAGATACATTTCCATGGCATGAAACAGTTTAAACAGAGATCAAACATGAAACCACATTTGTTCAGGAAGACCAAGTGAGAGGGATGCATTTCAGGTGGGATGAGAACACCCAGCAGGTGAAAAATTCGCTTGTGAAATGATGAGGAAGTTGGAAAACATAATGTGGAGGATGCCATGAGTAAGTACATAGTACATTGGCAGTAACACACCGTATGGAGAGTGTTCTGCAATAGCTAAGTGTGTATATGAAGGCTACAGACAGAACAAGGAGTCTTATTAACTCCAGACTAATAAATCTAGAGTAGTGTTGGCCACTGTAGACACACTAGAAATCTTTTTGCAAACTTCATATATTCACTTACCATTGTCTTAGTGAGCTCCTATTATTACCCGTTATCTACAACATGCTGTAAAAACCTCAGATATATGATCCAAAATACAGAAAAATTTAAAATACAAAACAATATTGTTCCTGGGAGAATAACATATACCCTTTTAGAGAGATAAGGCAAACATAAACTATATGGTATAGAGTAATGGCCAATAAAACAGTGCAGAATCCTATAGGAATTCAGAGGGTGAAGAAACTGCTGGAAGAATCAACCAGGAGATGCTGGTGACATTTAAATTGGGAAGGATGAAAGTAGGAGAGGAACAGAATGGATCGGAAGAGGGAGGGATGGGAAATGAGCAACACTGAAAACATTGTATAATAAGCCAGAAAAACGATGGTTCAAGGACCTGGAATTTGATCCTGTAAAGAACAAGAGTGGGATGCATGACACCATACCCAGCCACAGCCTACAATTGTTTTGTTAATGAGTACATCTCCAGGATGGCAATTCTCCAAGGATGAAGGGGCTTATAAAAAAACAAAACACATATTTTTAAAAATAGCCTCTGGCATTACAAAGATGCCCGTGTTTTTGAAAGATTCCTTTCAATTCAATTAATTAGTATGATTTATCCAAGATTTTACTTGCAATTTATAAAGTATTCCCATCATCCCACTGGTAATTATATCTCCAGGCTAATATAAATAAAAATGTCTAGTTACTCAAACCCACTCTATAAACCGTATCGGATGTATGACACTTAGAAGTTCTACTGGGGGAGGGGGGCTCTTCCTTCCGTGCACTCTGCTCTTTTTTATATATTGGAATGCTTCTGTCTCTTTCCATTTTCTTGGGGTTTTTTGTTATGATTTGGGGGTTACAGTCACAGAATTCATGGGCTAGTAACTGAGATAGGGATGAAATAGCATGAAGAGATGCCCTCGGAGGCTATAGGCTTCTTGTTTGTTTGTTTTTAGTTTTAAAGTCAACCTCAATAAAGGAAAGGGTGTTTGTTTACCAAAATCCAAGATTACTGCTATTTGTGCTTGTTACAGAAAAACAAAAACAAAAACAAAACAATAGCAAGATGAAGAGACAAGATATATGTGGAGAATATGTATCAAAATGTTTCAGTTCTCATCTTTAACCTGAAAGCTTTTAAAGTAATACTTACTATTGTTTTATATAAATTATAACTGTTTTAAAATAAGATGCATCTTTTTTTTTTTTTTTTTTTTTTTTTTTTTTTTTTTTTTTTTTTTTTTTTTTTTTTGTTTTTTCGAGACAGGGTTTCTCTGTGTAGCTTTGTGCCTTTCCTGG